GAAATAGAAGTTGAAAAATGTGAGAAAAAAATGAGGACCACTGTTGAAGTAAATATGCCAAGAGAAACCGGAGCATGGCATTTTAGGGGACAATGAAGAGACTCCAGTGGCCATGGTAAAGGATTTGTGTGAAATGATGAGAGATGACTTTTCAAAAAGCTGATTACAGAGCCTTATATGTCAAGCTAAGGAGATTGGACTCTATCCCTGAGGCAGTGGGGAGCCATAATAATGAGGTTTAGCACCTTATCCCTCAGACAGATATTAGACTAAAGATTAATTGCATCTTTATATATGTATCATATCACAGAGCACCAAGGGCCAATATTTAATGTCTCAGTATAAGTTGACGATCTTGAATCAAAAAGTAGAGAGGATTGAACTAGATGGGAAAAGGGATGGGAAAAAAAGCATCACTAATATTCATACCCTGTCATAGTCACAGTTGCTCTTCATTTCTTTGTTCTATTCTTAATCTCCTTTAAATATTTTAAGCATTAACTACACTATGTAAAAGATTCTAATGAAAAGTTAGGACCATTGTGCACTTGGTGTCAAATTTTCAGCAAGATATGATCCTCCTTTAAATGGCTCCGTTAAAAGTGAACAGTGCCTCTAAATTATTGTGAGGATGACTAGTGCCAAATCGAGGGCAAATTAGGTGAATAACTATTACTGAAATTCCAATAATATTACAGCACCCATTTCCTGTTCAAGATTAGTGGGGCATTCAAACTTCAAGCAGGAATGATTGGTGTTCTGATGGGGAAGCTACACAATAATACAGTCAGCCAACAGCAGAGGAGGGCTATATCTACATTATGCCACTCTCTTTGTTTTACACAGGGGGAAATTGAGAACTCTGAAGCACCATTTAGGTATTTGGGGCTATTTGTATTCATGATGAAGAAATTTTCCATTAGTAATTGTCTTTTGAGGAATTTTTTTGTGAACTTTTCAATATTGGTTCAATGTATCAGTGCCAAAAACCTGCTGAGAATTCACATTTTCCCCTTCTCATGCCATCCTATTCTCTTTAAAATGCAGTTGTCTATGAAACAAGTGATGACATATGGTTCAAAGGGAAAGATACAAGTTTACCCAGAAAAACTCATTTTGTGGCCAGCTCACTGGGGGATTTATACCACTCTAGGAAATAGCCTGTTCGCTTTCTGTCTGGTTGGTAAAGCACAAAATATGAAGCTGCCCTCCAGAAGTTGACATATTTCCTACATTATAGTTAAAAGAAGTTTTGACCTCTTATAAAACATATACAATGCTACTTGGAAGACTGAGGCAGGAGGATGTTAAGTTCTATGGCTGCCAGGGCTACAGGACAAGTTCAAGATCACCCTGGTAATGTAGTTAGACTTTGTATCAAAATATAAAGTTAAAAAGAAATGACTGCAGATGATATGGCTCAGTGGTATAATGCTTGTCTACTATGTGTGGGGCTTTGTGTTCAATCTCCAGTCCCAAAAATAGAAATCAAGGGGCTGGAGAGATGGCTCAGCAATTAAAAGCACTCCATTCTCTTGTTGAGGACCTGGGTTCAGTTCCCAGCACCCACATAGTGACTCAAAACCTTCTGTGACTCCAGTTTCAGAGATTCTGGTACCCTTTTGTGACCTCTGCCAGCACAAAGCGTGCATGTGGTGAACATAAATACATTCATATGCATAAAACAAATACATCTAAAACTAGCAACAGAAAGTTGCTGCAACCTGTGCAGCTTTGGAGTTGATTTGACTGAGGCAAGGGGAATAAAAAAAAAAACAGACACATATAAAGAAAAGCTGACGCCAGATGGACTGTGCACACCCAGAAACTCACCATGTTTATGTATACAGTGAAACAAGGGGGGTTATAAACCACAGCTGAATGAGGAGGCAGATTACCTAATCTCAGTAGGGGATCTCTGTAGGTGAGTAGTCAAAGGCTGTTGTCATCCTAGAGAAGGAACCTGGGGTTTTACACACACTTGTCAATGTCCACACAAGGACCAGGAAAAGGCCTTGCCATTCCCATGGGTCTGAGTCACTGGGGTCTCAGACATGGCCATGCTCATGTCAATAATTCAGATTCACTCAGGACTTCATCCATTTTCCACATCTTTTAAACTAAATTTTAAAAAGGAAGCCTTGTATAAGACTTTTAGAAATGTCTTACTCCATAAGTGTTGGCGTCAGAACTAGGCAGCACCTTACTGACACTCTTCATATGGAAATCACGATGCTAGGCTTTGCACCTGGCTAATTTGGAGATATTGCTTTCTGTCTTCTGGGATAAATTACCAAAGGATTGAGACTTTATCTCATAAATCATTTTATTCCCAGGAAACAGAGATGGGGGGAGAGGGAGGGAGAAACAGAAACAGAGAGATAGAGACAGAGGAAGAAGCTACATAGAACCCAGCCTATAGGAAGCCTCCAGAAAATATTAATTGAACAAATTAATGTCTTATGTGCGTGTAATTATAGACTTAGAGGAGATATATACATGCTTTAGGTAGAAGTGACACATACAGAGAGTAATTAAGCTACCCAAGGCTTCTGCACTATGTTGTCAATCTTGATTTGGATAAGTGTAAGAAACATGATATGGGAGTATCAATCACTGGGGAAAAGACAATGACATCATGAAATTTGCAGGCAAATAGATGAACTAGGAAAAAAATCATCCTGAGTAAGGTAAACAAAACCCACAAAGACAAACACAGAATATACTCACTCAGAAGTAGATACTAGATGTGAAGCTAAGGATAATCAGACTATAATCCACAGCTCCAGAGAAGCTAGGTAACAAGGAGGACCCTAAGAGGGGCATGCAAGGATTGCCCAAGAAGGAGAAATAGATAAGATCTCCTGGGTAAACTGGTGCAGGGGGGGGATGAGAACATGAGGGAATGAGATGGTCGAGTTGGGGGAGGGGCAGAGTGGGAGAGCAATGAAGGAGATATCTTGATGGAGGGAACAATTATGGGATTAGGGAGAAACCTGGAGCTAGACAAATTCTCAGGAACCCACAAGGATGACCCCAGCTAAGACTCCTAGCAATAGTGGAGAGGGTGCCTGAACCAGATTCCCCTGTAATCAGATTGGTGACTGCCCTAATTGTCATCATAGAATCTTCATCCAGTAACTGATGGAAGCAGATGCCGAGCTCCACAGCCGAGCTCTGGGAGTCCAGTCAAAGAGAGGGAGGAGGGATTATATGAGCAAGGAGGGCTAAGATCATGATGAGGAAACACACATAGATAGCTGACCTGAGCTAGTGGGAGCTCGTAGACTCCAGACTGACAGCTGGGGAGCCTGCATGGCACCAAACTAGGTCCTCTGAATGTGGGTGACAGTTGTGTGGCTTGGTCTGTTTGTGGGATTTTAACCAATCACATATCCGTAATAGTTTGCACTTTTTCTACATTGTTTCTTAACTTGTTGCGTAAATATTTATTGAGGTTATCCTTCATGTTAGTTACCTGGTTGATATTGCAGTTGAATGGATACGGTTGAATCCCTGTCTTTAAGACGCTGCAGGGATGTGAGGCTGGGGAAATGAGAAGTATTAAGAAACAGAGAGAATGATGCCAGTGAGACTCTGGAAACATGTAATACGTGAGCAGATCCTTGAAAGTCCAATTTTCTACCTTCCTGTTGCATGTTCTTACTGCCTCTGATAATTCAACAGGCACACACAAGCCAGGGCTTGCCTTTTAACCCACTTGTGCCTTTATATTTCTCTCTACCACCTAGCATAATGTCAAGAGTATGGCTAACAGTAAAAAATAGGTAAGGACATGTACATGGCAGAGACAGTAGAAAGTATGATGTCTGAAGCTTATTTCACTTTGGGTGAGTGAGACAGAGTATCTCTGTATAGCCATAACTCTCCTGAAACTTACTATGTGGACCAGGCTGATCTCCACCTTGAAAGTGCTGGGACTAAAGGGGCGCTCCGCCACACCTGGTCTTAATTCCATTTCTTATCTTGGAAGCTTCTCTTGACATATACATACATGACCAGGAATATACTCTTGCATGTGTTTTGACACGTAGACACTGATGTATACCATGACAAGCTCTCGTGCATATATGAGTACATACATCCATTTATGTGTTGGGAAGCCCTGAATTCAGCCTGATGGTTTCTGTTTTCCATGGAGTTAAGACACCAAGTTATTACATGAAGTGAGTTCAGTTGTCCACATTCTAGTCTCCCCAACCTATCCCTTGAGGAGACTGTTCTTGAAGACTCAGAAATGTCAGGTTTCCCTAAAGATATAGTTTCTGGAGTTTGAACTCTCATCACAAGAAGAATCACATACAAACTTGATCCCTTTGCTTCTTTAGTACTGTGTGAATTCTTTTTTATTTTACATGAAGGAAATGCTTAAAAGAGACAATTGGGGGTGCATTAATATACTGACATTGTTTTATTAAGGTGCTTATAACTTTTTTATGTCGAATAGAAAACAGGGCTTCAGGTCTTCAGTTGGTTCAGGGTCTGAGATTTTGCTTTATAGATTTGGTTAAATGACAATGATTGCATATCAAGCTGACTGACAAGTTGCTATCCTTTGCCTTTGGGAGCATTGTGTGTGATTGTCTGGGGGCAATTTGTCTGGGATTCATCTCTCTGGTAAGGATACCTTTACCTAACAATGAGAGTCACAAACCTTTTTCAAATGCCCAGAATTTAAAGCATGTGAGACTAGTGACCTTGACATGTTTTATGGGGATCAATAATACAATTCAGATGCTTGCTGTATTTCAAACTAAATAGAAAATAGCAATTCAAGCCATAAACAGCACTCAAGAAATCCAAATGTCAAAGTTTCTGAAATGAGACATGAATTGAACAGATTCTTGCTCTCCCAGAGCAAGCAGTGAGTTCGCTAGTTTTAATTAGAACCAGCTAAATATAGCTCTTATCTTTATAGACTAGAGATATGGTTGACATTTTGCTAAACCTTTTAAAAATACAAGGCTTATTAATAAATGATGTTAATTCCTGGAATAAAAGAAGTATCTCAGACTTTGGACTGACCTAGTTTAGAAGCCCAAGTCAAAGGGAAAGAAAATGGAAAGCAACCAGGGTTGAAAAAAAAAACCCATAGTTTATTGCTATCTTGTTAATAGCATGAGATGAGAATGAGAGAAGGGAGGTGTCACCATGACATGAGATTTTTGAGAAGTAATTATAGAACTGAAATAGCAATAAAGAGTCTCAGTAAAGAAAATCAATCATAGTTATGTGGAAATCACCAAATATGTCACACTGCAAGCTTAGTGGTTTAGTCTATGGAAACTGGATTGCCATTGTTGGGTACCTACCAACAGCAGCTCACCTCATATGAGGGGCCTCATAGAAATTCACTGTGTAAGCACATATTTGATTGGCCTGTCTGCTGTGTTCACCTGCTGTGAATTCTAAATGCTAGCCATGAACTTCCAGCTTGCCCTGATCACAGAGGAGATGAAGACTATGGTTGACCTGAGCAGTCAAGCCACAGGGTGTTTACAGTTTTGACAGTGAATGAAATGCAAAGGCTGTGCTCTAGGGTATCATTTGAGGTAGCAGGCAGGCTTAGGGAAAGGGAAGAATATTGATTTACTGAAGCAACCTCCCCAAAATTTTATGAAATACTGATCTCCATTTAAAATATATATAATTTATCTATACATTTTAATAAAGTGTATGAGTGTGCATAAGTGTCTTTACCTTTTCTTCCTCATGACAATAGTTATGAAGACTGCTTTTGAATAATAATGAGTATGTTTTTTTGAGATAGAATTTAACTGTGTGTCCCTGGTTAGCTTAAAACTTGGCATATAGATCATGCTGGATTTGGAGTCACAGAAAGCCAACTGCATGTGCTTCCCAAGTGCTGGGACTAAAGGTTTATTCTACACACACAGCAAAAGAAAATTTACCCTACTACCTCTTTTCAGAATTATTATTGTTTCTTTTTATGTGTGTGAGTGTTTTGCTTGAATTTTTGGCTATGTACCATGTGTGTGCCTGGTGTCCACCTTCTAGAGATTAATGAAACATTTAAGGGGAAAAATTTCATTTAGCTTAAAACTTTAATTCCACAAGTGATACTGAGAATTGCAGAAAAATCAGATAATAAAATTAAGCTAAAATGAAGATACTGATCACCCTTAGTGGTACCCAGAAGCATTATACTCTGTATTTTTAGAAGTATGTGTATCTCTGCGTAGGTAAACACAATCATACAATACAGTGGAAGAATGAGAGCCAGAAGATGTCTCTTACTCAGGCAAACTTCCTGCATTATAGGGACTTCTAAAAACCTGGAGAAAAACCACATTTACCTGCTGAAAGGCCAGTGACTTCCCATTACAGAATTTAGAGTATTTCTCAGGAGGCCCCACATAATGAAATATGAGAGGGACCTGAACTTCTCTTCTTCCCAGTAGGCGTCTAAAACAGAGGAAAGAAAGATTAAAATGATGTGAAACTTAAGTTCTTACTGACAGATTCTTTATCATCCCAGACATGCAGTCACTGACACCTGTCTCTGTCTTGGATGATCCAAATATTTTTAGGAGACAATGATATCTAAAGCAGTAGTTCTCAACCTTCCAAATTCTGCGACCCTCTTTAGTACAGTTTCTCATGTTGTGGTGACACCCAATCATAAAATTATTTTTGTGGCTGCTTCATAACTGTAATTTTCTACTGTTATTAGCCATAATGTAAATATCTGACATGCAGGATATCTGATATGTGACCCTTGTGAAAGAGTCCTTTGACCCCCAAAGTGGTTCCGATCCACATGTTGAGGACCACTGATCTAAAGTGTGTTTTGTGCTTGCTTGCTTTTGTTTTTGTATTTGTTTTGATTTTGGACAGCATCTCATTTTATAGCCCTAGCTAGCCTAAACATTGTTATATAGACAAGATTTCCCTTCAGCTAATAGATATCTTCACAGTTCTACCTTCCAGTGCTGGAATTAAAGATATAAACACCAATGCTCAACAACATATGGTTCTTAGCAGATGGTTCTTATGGTACTGTAGCAAATGTTGCAAGTGTAATACTCTAAAAAATTACTAATTATCTTATGTCATTGAGGACAGAGGTATGAAATGAATTTTGTTGGGATTAAATCAAGGTATCAATTTGGCTACAATTTGAATCATTGAAGAAGAGATCAATCTTTTATCTTTCCTGATGCCATGGCTAAAATCTTAGTTGTCAATTTACTATATCTGGAAGCAATTTAAACCCAAGTAGGTGAGCACATCAGTGAGGTATTTGCTTCATTGGACCATCTGAGGTGGGAAGAACCACCCTAAATCTGGGCCATACCTTCTGGTGAGCGCCCACATAAAAGGGCATGGAAGAAAGAAGCTTTTGCTTTTTGCCTGCTTGCTTTCACTCTTGCTGGTAAGTTCATTTATCCTGTTGCTGAGGCATTTCTTCACCTGTATAGTACCTAACTTCTTTGAGCTTCCCTTGTAGGCTGAAGATTAACAGCTCTCTAAGATGCCTCTAGGATTCTAGCACCAGGCTCTGTGCTCAAACATCCAGCCGCATGGACTGAACTACCAAATTCTTGGCCTTCAGAAGGCAACCATTGTTGGACTACTACAGCCCCTACATCACCCCAAGAATTTCCATATATACTCCACATAACATATATATGTATATGTGTGTAATGTATATAAAACATATATGGAATATTTTGTATCCATTCTATCTGTTCTGTTCCTTTAAGGAACCCTGACTAATATACCTAGCTTCTACAGATGCCCGAATTCCTTGGCCTATGGCTGCCCCCTCTCTCTTTCAGACCTGCTGATGACAACTTCAAATATGCTAAGAGTCTCTTCCCTCCTTCCTTGTGTTGTAAGACCCCCTCATGATTACATTTTCCCCACCTAGAGAATCCATAAAATTCTTCCCATCTTAGGATTTAAAAAATTTCAATGCCAGTAAGTCCTTTTGTGATGTAAGGCAACTTATCCCAGCTTCCAGGGATAAGGATGCCTTTGTGGAAAACCATTATTCTGCCTGTCACAGCAGAATGGGAGATTGTCAGGTAAAAAGAAGAAGGTCAAGCGTATTCTCATCAGCTGGAGCAGAGTGTGCTCAGCAGAGACATTAGCAAGAACTGACTGATTCTTTTTCCTATCACTGTCACTTCTCCAGCAAAAAGAAAGACTATCCACCAGGACATCGGGAACATGCAATCTGTTTCCTACTTGCAAGGAGAAAAAAAAATGCTGCTTCAGCAGAAATGCAGGTTATTCGAAAGCACAACTTACTGTCACCTTTTGGCTGACTGAAAATGCCGCTACATGATTTTGATATACTCACTTATCATCTTTTAGCCTTATTTTCCTTTTCTGTAAAATGGAGGTAGAGAGACTAGAGAGATGATTGAGTGGTTAAGAGCACTTCTTACTCTTATAGAGCACCCAGGGTTGATTTCTAGCACCCACATGGTGGTTCAGAACTCCAGTTCTATAACTCCAGTTCCAGGGAATCTAATGCCCTCTTTTGGCCTCTGCACTGCACACACCAGGCATGCATATGGTACACATGTATTCATGCAACAAAACACCCATGCAGATAAAATAAGATTTAAAAATCTTTTAAAAATGGAAATAGATCTTAACCATATAGAGTTCTCACCAGTGTTTGTGGAAATGGGACTTGTGGATGCTTCCTAGTATAATTCGCTACTCACAGCTCCTGGTTTATTCAAGTAGTCAAGTTGGAATCCACATAGTTTTAGAGCCTGAAGAGCCTGTGAGGCACCAAGAGTGAAAGATAACTAGCACTGAAACACAAATATGGCAAACGATGCCAGGACATTCCTTATAAGAGACAAAGTGATTAGAGAAGACTGATTTGTGTATATTTCAGAAAGAAAATGCATTGTGCCGTTTAAATATTCATGTTTATTCCCAGAAGATTAGTGCTGCTCTCAGGTTTTGTCAGATAAGCTTCTTATTGTTGTGGGAAGGGGTCAATGTGGGGATTCATAACTGTTCGATGTGCTGAGAATTAGTATTGTGGGGGGCTTGGTCCTAAACAGGCCATCTATATCACCCTGCTCAAGGATCAGGGACTATCATGGAAGAGTGAACAGAAAGAATGTAACAGCTAGCTTATAGTTATGCCACAAAAATATCTTCTAGATGTGACATGGATATTGTACTCATGGACTCACAGTAGCAGTGGTTTCCTTTCTAAGTCCTGAAAAAGATTGGGCTCCTCATTGCTGGAGAAGGTACTCACGAGGCCTAACCCTCCTGAAAGGACTATTGGCAATTAATGGATGGTTGCTGGGAGCAAGTATAGCCACTAAATGTTGCCTGCACTCCAGTAAATAACCACACCCCAATGATCATGCAAGCAGCCATATTTAAACTCGATGGATCACATACACAAGAGGCAAGAAAGTAGGACATAGAAGTGGGAAGAAGAAGGGTTTCGAATGAAGAGGGAGGGAGGATAAGAAGTTATGGAAGTGACAACTTCTAAAATTCATTACATGCATGTATAAAACTATTAAAGAATAAATTTAAATAAAAATGTAAGATTATATTCAGCAAGCGGGTGAGCGTAACTATAGTAGAAGCTCTCATTTAGGAAAACTTTACCTAGAGAGGAGAAGGCTAGTATGAATCCCACAGGTGTCAGAGCCTACAGGCTGCTCTGTGTTTGCGACTTTTGGCTACTTTCAGATACCTAATAAATCAATAGGGCTAGATCTTATTCAAAAGCATGATCAAGGTAATGCAGTCATCATCCAAATTTACAATGGCCAAGCATTGCAGCAATTATGTTTAAAGGGTCTTTGAGAATCATTATGTCTGCCTGTCTTTGTGACCTACTACTCTGTAAAAACGAGAGCCATCACACAAGTAAGTGAAGAGGGCTCAAATGAGCATGTGTCTCTTGTTTCTACATTAGCACAAATAACAGCTACCAGCACTCATTGAGCACATACTACATGCTAGAAGGTTCTCCCACAAACATCCCAAGCACAGCACTTCAATAATACTCATTTGATAGGTAAGACGGCTGAGGCTTGAAGTTACTTATCCAAACTTCACAAAACTAGCACAGAGAGTTGTGTTGCCGGGTGTTGGTGGCACATGCCTTTAATCCCAGCACTTGGGAGGCAGAGGCAGGCAGATCTCTGTGAGTTTGAGGCCAGCCTGGTCTACAGAGCCAGTGCCAGGACAGCCTCCAAAACAACTCAGAAAAACCCTGTCTCAAAAAAACAAAAACAAACAAACAAACAAACAAACAAAAAACCTACCATGGATGCCAGTTATAGATTAAATCATGCCCTTAACAAATGCATCGTGCTACTAATGTGTCCCAAACAAAATTCTTCTCTACCACTGTGGAAACAAATTGTAGTCTTGTCTTGGTTTTGGGCTTTATGTCCAGGTGTTCTCAGTCTAGGCATTCCTGAAATCATATAGACTTGCTTTTAGTTTCTCTTCTCATTTCTGCCGTACTTCTAACCCTAAGCCAAACTATTACCATCATTGGAGATCCTGCAAAAATGTATCTCTGAGTTTTCTGGCAGAAAGGTGTTAACAGACAAGAGTGATGTCTTGAAATCAAAACACTACCAAGCTCTTTATCTTTGTACCTGAAATTTCTTTTATGACTTGTCTAGTATATAAAGGGAAGATGGTGGAACATAGTTGCTTATTTTAACAATTACAGAAAACTGTACAAAAGTCATTTACATTTTGTAGTATCAAATATTCCTTTCCCCCTTTTCTTTCTACTCTACTCCAGTTTATTGAATTTGTGTAGCCAGACTTAGAAATCTGCAGAAATTTGTCGTAGGAGCCAGACTAACAGTGTGTGAACTTAAGATCTGTTAGTAGCCATGAGACCTTGTCTTAGGGCCTCCTACTTGCTCAGCAGAGCAATACTCCTATCTAGCACTGAGCTGTGTCCTCAGTTTATAGCTGTAACTTTTCCAATAGTGCCTGGCCCATAGAAAGTTTCCTGTAGATTTTCCGTATTATCAATTTCCATAGGCACTCTGTATTCCGGTTGAGTTAAATCCCTGTAAGTCCCTGTAGTTGGTTGGTTTTTACTATTTACTCTTTTGGGGGCCTGCCACCCAGATCCAAAATACATATGTAGGCTTATTCTCCTTTTGAATGCCTGGCCTAAGTTTGGCTGGTTGCTAGCCAGCTTTTCTTATCTTAAATTATCCCATGTACACTTTGCCTCTGAGTTTTTCTTTTTCTTACTTCTGTATATCTTACTTTCACTCTTATTCTGTAGCTGTCTGTCTGTTTGTCTGACTGGCTAGCTGGCTGGCCACTGACATCCTCCTTTCCTTGTTCTATCTTGCTTCTCCTCTCTTCCAGATTTCTCCTCCTGTTTATCCTCTCTGACTGCCAGCCCCTCCTATCCTTTCTTGAACCTTACTATTCATTGTTCAGCTCTTTATTAGACCATCATCAGGTATTTTCAACAAAGAATCACAGCTTCAGAGAGTTAAGCAAAATGTAGCATAAACAAAAGCAATACATCTTTACATCATTAAACAAATGTTCCACAGCATAAAAAAAGTAACATATTAAAATAATATTCTACAAGTTCCTTATTTCTATTATTATTCATTATAGAAAACTGATGTATCAACAAGAATTACAGATATAGACTTCTTGAATATAATTCAAGTTTTCTCTTCCTGCTCTACCCTCTCTCCTTATACTCTTTATCCTCTCTTCTCAATAGAATCTCATGTATCCTAGGGTGGCCTTGAAATTTCTGTGTAGCCAAGGATGGTCTTGAACTTCTGATTTTTCTGACTCTGTCTCCTAAGTACTGAGATTACAGGCATTAACCAAAATACTAAGAATT